TTTAGCTCAAAAAAAGTTGCAATGCACTCTCTCACTTTACTAAACCAAATCTATCTTCTCCAACTTCCATCTGGTCCTCCCAAGATAAGCATAAAGGGCATATGATCCAAGGGTTCCATCAATAGTCTTCAACAGATAATCCATCCATGAATATATTTGTATAATGAGTTAGATTCCCAGTTTTTATTATATTGCTTTTAGTGCTTTTAATATTACAGCCGTTTAATTGTTTAATAGTATATTGGTGACCCGTTCATGACTGGGTAAGAAAAAGGAATTAACTAAAAATCAACTCATTTGGGTTCTATTTTGTGCTACTTCGCTGTTTCTTTTGAAGTTAATTTGGTTAATTGTTCCCATGTCCCTGTTTTTTAATTGAAAAATGAATGCATATGACAAAATCCTTCACCACACATAATTTTTTCTACCACAATTATTACTTCTCTCACCCTCTTTCCTGAACAAAAAGAACTCTTCTTTTCAGCTTACTTTTCAACTATTCCTACTCTAATTGTTCCTTGATATCAGAGGATCCCCTCTCTCTACAGCTGGGGTTACCTATCTGAAAGAAAAATACAGCTATGCTACCTTCCTGTTTGTGACAATTCAATGGTTTCCTCCATTGCTCTTAAGAGAAATTAAGCTTCTGACATCATCTCCAAAGGAATCATCTTGTCCTTCCATGTTTTCTAGCTCATTCTGCTCCACACTCCACCTCCTCCTCTCTGCTGTAGTCACGTTGGCTTTTTCTCAATCCTTTGTCCTTGGCATGGCCCCTCCAGCCCTTGGTTCAACACATGATGTTTCCTCTACCTGGCATGCTCTTCTGCTTTTTTCCTCAATTAGGTAAATCTATGTATCCTTCTCATCTTAGCTCAATTGTCACTTCCTCAGAGATTCCTTTGCTAGTCACTCTAACTCCGTCTCATCTTGTCTTATAAAATCTGCTAGTATGCTCCTCTCTTTTTTGCACTTACAGCTGCAATTTCATATCAGATCATATATGTATGTCCATTTTCCCTAGTGGAATATAATATTTCTCCTTTGTCTACATTTATTCACCATTGAATCCTTAGCACAGGCATGTAGGAGCTACTCTGTAAATATTTCTTGATTGAGAACAAAATAAAGTTCTGTAAGGTTTCTCAAGGAAAAGACATTACAAGGTTTTTATCTACACTATTTTCTACACTACACACAATATAATGTATTCATCCAAAACATAGATATAACTAGAAAGATTTTTCCAGAGTAAAATCATTCTTTATATCTATTAATCTTCAGTCTTATCTTCTTTTCTTTGATTTTACTTGTGATCTGAACATAGAAGTTTTGATGATGAATAAGAATAGAATTCCTTAATAAGAATTTGCTCTCAGATTATATATTGAGAAATAATGCAATTTCTTTTTCTTTAATACTATTTTCTTACTGTTCATTAGCATTAATATGGATATTATATACTAATACCAGAAAACTGAATATGTCTATGCCTTTTTTTTAAAAAAAGGCAATAGCTATTTTGTGTATCTCTGTTTTCTATTACAAAGGATATTAGCAAATATTGCATTTCCTATAAGGAATATTAACTCTAAAAGTACTTATAATTTCACAGAAAAAAAATGGAAAATGAATCTTGACGGAAAGTTCATTTAAATCTACTAAAATTATCTGTTTTGTGGGTAAAATTATTTTAAAGTGTGAGATGAGTTACAGGAATGCAAAGTGATTTTAATCTTTAGAAGACTGTTAATGTCAAATGGTAACAAGCACTGTGAGATGCCAACACTATAAGAGAGAGAACATGGCTTTACAAACGACCCTCACTGGTCTCCTACCAAAGGATTTTTCAGCCACCAGGTCATAGCCACGAAGCTGAATTAATGCTGACAGTGACTCTGCCACCATTGCACAAGAGGATTGGAAGAAGATATAGAAGGTGATCTTGAGTAAGTTTTGCAGCTAAATAATGAGATCCTCAATCAAATATCAACATTTAAAAATTAAAAAAAAGCATAAAGGATTGTTGAGTTCAAATCCATTATTTTGTATATGTGGGAAACCAAAGTTAAGAGGTATCAAGTCATGACTCTAAGGCCACAGACTCAGTTGATAGTACAGCCAAGATTGAAAGACTGATCTTCTGGAGCACTGTTATTTCCACTACATTATGTTGCCCAGTCACATCAGTTCTTTAAGATTCTCTAGGAAAAAGAATCTAAGCAATAAACCCCAATACTAGATTACCGCAGTAATGAGACGACCCACAAACATTTTTACAATAACAATGAATGGGTCAGATCTTATCAGCTGACACATAATATGAACAAGTACCTATTATCCTCTGTTCACGTAATATTCTTTACATTTATCGCCTGCACATAAGAAACATTAACACAACTTATTCCTTCAATAACAATGTTTCTGTATTACCATAACCTCTCTGAGTTAAAAATGGCAACATAGGCGTTTAAGTGATCATTTCCATTTGCAAAATTCTGGCAATTCTATGCAGAATTGGATATTGACACAGCAATTCATAGTATGATGCTACATCAGTGGTGTGCTCATAAAGCAGCTCTTCAATAAAATAAAATTTTAAAAAGCTCTGATTTGCAGGATGTGCTGATTCCTGTGTTATAAATACTCCCACAAGGGCCAATTTCACGCTACCAACTCTGTAACAGACTGCTCATAAAATTTTTGAATATTTAACAATTGGCTCAAGTGTGTTAGTCAGAGACAGCTCCAGCATGCTACTGATACTACAGTAAACACAGAAATAATAAAAATCAACCCAGTCTTTTAAGAAAGAGGAAACCGAGGTTTAGTGGGAGGAAGTGGTCTGCCTCAAGATTATACAGTGGTTGAGCAGGTTTTAACACTCAAAATTCCATCTCAACTACTCTCATCAATTAGTGAAACTTTATACAGTAGAAATAGTTGGTGGTCTTCAAGACTCGAGAGAGTGGCCAGGCACAGTGGCTCATTCCTGCAATTCCAACACTTTGGGAAGCAGAGGTGGGTGGATCATGAGGTCAGGAGTTCGAGACCAGCCTCACCAACATGGTGAAACCTGCCTCTACTAAAAATATAAAAATTAGCTGGGTATGGTGGCATGTGCCTATAATTCCAGCTACTCAGGAGGCTGAGGCAAGAGACTCACTTGAACCCGGGAGGCGATGGTTGCAGTGAGCCTACATCATGCTACTGTGGAGACTCTCTTGAACCTGGGAGGCAGAGGCTGCGAGCTGACATTGCACCACTGCACTCCAGCCTGGGTGACAGAGCGAGACTCTGTCTCAAAAAAAAAAAAAGACTTGAGAGAAGAGCTTCACAAAAGGTCAACAATACTAACCATGCTGTTTAAATGCATATTTTTGGGCTGTACCCCAGACTTAGTGAATCTTAATTCCTTGGGGCGAGACATCTTTGTGTCCACAGGCACTACAAGTGGAAAAGAGCAGTAAGAAAGAAGCTTTCCCTAATAGTTACCTTTCAAAAAAATGAGTTTCAAATATGAATCAAGGACAATAGCTAGCTTTCTTTTGACTTCATCTGAACCTTCTATCATAAAGCCTACAATGTTTCACATTTTTGGAGACTTTGTGTTTTAAAATATAGTTTAGATTTTTTAAACAAGATTTCTTTTTACTTCATCCAAACCTTCTATCATAACACCTACAATCTTTCACATTTTCAAAGACCTTCTTTTCAAAATATAGTTTACAATTTTTAAATGATGAAAGAAAAAGTTGAGTTATTTATCTTCTGATTCCCAATCTTAATATTCTATAGACCAAAATCTAACATATATTTGTATGTCTGAGCTCCGGCATACTTAACATTTTTTGAAAAAATTAAAAAATATATATTTCTCTTTCAAGGTTCTGTCTTGCCTTTTTCCAAATCCAAGCAGTCAATAGCAACATGGTACTCCCGCCCTAATCTACCTACTACTTTGTCAAATAATCAGATAGTTATGTATTTGTATTCAGTTTATCTGCCACTTTCTGTTGTGTTGATATGTACTCCCGATCTTAAATCTAGGACAAAGGCAAATAAATATTGTCTGTTTTGTTTTCCTCTTTCAATATTTTAGAGGTCAGAACATTTACAAAGTAAATATCCTCACAGCTATTTTTAAAAAAAGCATTGCAAAAGAGAAAAATAACAATTGAGCAATGGTTTTAATTTTAAAATACACAGCTAAGTCACAATAAAATGACAAATACATGTTCTAATATTACTTCAAAAGCAATCAGATACTAACCTAAAAATACAGGTCTATGATTCTTAACTCATTATTAATTTTATGGGAAAGTGAACTTAAATATGTGTTTATTTGCACAGAAATAAGAGAACTAATGGCATAAGTGTTGGTAAATAACAGATTCACGAAAACATTTTTGAAGAGTTTTAATCATTTCCAAGCTTCCAAGCAAATATAAAACTACTCCATAAGTGTGGTCTTTGGCCTTGGTAGGCGATAGCGTCACTCAACTTAGCAGTAGATGTTTTTAAGGAAACTAGAGAATAAGTCTTGTGCTTCTCCAAATGCATGGTCCTGGCTGGACATTTACCAAACACTGGCCAGAAAAGCTTTGTAACACAAGAGACTTCTGCGTTTTTGAGATTCCCTTCACTAATACTTCTCAAGAAAATCTGCTTATTTCATGAGACTCACCATTGACTCCACTGGCCACATGGTTTGAGAGAGTAACTCTATTCATGATCTTCATCTTACAGGTCAAATGTCCATGCATTAGCCAGCATTTCCATGTATATTTGCTCAAGAACTTCTTCTACTCAACAACAAAAAGTAAACAAATTCCACTCCCAAAAATAAACTAGCTTTGAATCTCAAATTTAAGCCCTGCTTGTACAGAACAGTCTTCCTCCCTGAGACACCAGTGGATGAGTACGCTGACTACTATGTCATCCTGCCCGCCAAGGGAAGTATGTGAGTGAGAAACAGCACAGGCAGCAGAAGGACTTACGGTTGGCACAGCTTGATTAGGTCCTGGTCAGTGGTGCCTGGTGGGAGACCTCGAATGTACAGGTTGGTTTTACTCAACTGTTCCCCGCTGCTGTTGTTGCTGCTGTTGTTGCTGCTGCTGTTTGTGCTGGGGCTGGGAGGAGCCATGGGGTGGGGAGCTGGTGCATAGGACTGCTGGAAACAGAAAAAGCTGTTACTGGAAAAACAAAAGCCAGCACCTATTCACAGACCAGCAGCACGACTCGAAATCAATGTAAGCTACGTATCCTCTCCATTACACACTCATATATACACACACACATTTATATCACTACTCTATGCTGCATTCAAGAATATTGCTTGCTTTTTTCATCCCCCTCTGACTCTTCGTTCAGATCAGCATAAGGCGGCCCTAAATGGGACAAAAGAAGTTACCAGGTGCTCTGGGCAGTAGCATATGGCATTTGAACTTGCCTTGGACTACAGTGACTCTCCTTACACTGGTAAAGCAGCGTATCTTCCTCCCTAATGAAATGAAACAGTCACTTCTGGCAACGAACTCTGACTCTAGCTTGCCTTGAGCAGCCAAGCATCTTCAATTTCCCTCTATTACTTTGTTCCCTCCTTTCTCCAAAGAAACTCCCTCCTATTGCTATCCTCAACATCACTGTTCAGCACAGTTCCTGATACACAGAAATCATTCTGTAAATAGTGATTCTATGACTGACTGAATGAACGAAGCCATCTTAGCTTTCTCCCATTTCCAAAATTGTTTCTTTACATTGAATGTTCCTTGTTTGCAAGATGGAGCTACCATTCATTCCCTATCTTCAAGATCCTCTTTAAATCACTTTAATCTAGGATCTCAACCTAGGCACTATGAACCACTTGGATGGGATAATTCTTTGTTGTGGGCACTGCCCTTGTTCATTGTAGGATGTCTGGAGGGATCCTTGGCCTCTATCCCCCAGATCCTAGTAGTGCCCATTCCCAGGACATGATCACCAAAAAATATTCCCAGACATTGCCACATGCGCCCCGGTGCTGGAAGGAATCCCTCCCACGACAGAACCACTATTTTAATTCATTACTATTCAATTCATTACTATTTAATTATTTTAATTTGTTTAAATCATTCGATAGCAAAAGTAAAATGATAAAATGACTCACAGAATATTGGAATATACAATGTGAGGGTTAAAACTATACATATCAGAATGCATAGCTATATTTACTCATTATGCTTATTTCTTTTTTATACAGGCATATCTTTAAAAGTTCTCAACTGACACTCACTGTCTAGGTGGAGTCCCTGCTGTGTCTCTTATTGGCTATGTGACCTTTAAGTGGTGCCTTAACCTCTCTGAGAAGCAGCATTCTCATTAATATGAAGGAGATAATGGTACTCTCAAGTTAAAAGATTTTTTTTCAAAAAGTTGAGTTAATGCAAACAAAATGGTTCCTAGAAATTAGTAAGTATACAATAAATATTAGCAAAATAACAATAGTTAATACTTATGGTTTGTATCTGTTTTGTAATAATATTAACCCATATAACTATGCCATATTTTCTCAGTTGTGACCCCAAATGCTACCGAAAAACATAAAGAGCACATTCCTCAAGATTCCAGCGGGGAAACTTTGGGCTGGGTTCTAACCTGAAGATGAAGACGAGGTTAAAGTGTAAAACGTTTTGTGCCATGGCACAAAGGTAAGGAATCATATCATCTGAGGGAAAAATGCACTTTGAGCCTATACAGTTTCATTCTTTAAAAAACCTCAAGAAACATATTCAACATGAAAATAGTATGTCTTTTCATTCCAAAACTTCTGGTGCTGCCCTAAATGGCAGGTCTATTGGGTCTGGGTAAATAAGGCGACATCCTGGAAATACAGCTGATCGTGGCCTTCATCACAGACAGCTAAACTTTTTAGGAAGAATCCTGCAGTGGCTTCCCACCAAACTTACTAAAAAGTCCTGAAAGCGCCACGTGATTTGTTATCAGACGTTTTCTTCAGTCACTTCTTAGACCAGACACAGTGGTACTCCCCTTTTCACCCTTCCCATTCTCCGCCCCGCTCTACTCAGCTAGCTCTAATCCGTCCTTCTGATTTCAAATTAAGTATCATACTACCACACTCCGTTAGTTTCCTCCACAGCTTTCAGCATATTTGGTCTTATTTAATTATTTTTGGCTTACTTATTTAATGCCTGTCTCTAGCACTAATCTGTGTGTTTCCTGAGAGCACAGAATGTGTCAAACCCATACATGAGTAGCACCTAGCCTAGTGACTGATATACGGTAGGTACTTGAGAAATATTTAAGCTACAATATATATATAATAAAAACAGAATAAAGACAGCACCTAGCATACAGAGAAAGAAGGCCCAGTTTTAGCAGTAACAAGATTACCAGCCTCGTTTCTTGCAATAGTAATCTGTTTTACACCTTCCAGGATTTTAAATTTGGTGAGTCCCTGTTTCCCATTGTCTATAAGACAATGTGCTTTAGATTCAATGTATCAGATGAAACTCATTGCACCTGTTCCCTCACTCCCAATTCCCCCACACCAGCCACTCAACACAATTACCCCATATCGTTCAATGTTGCTGTTGTTCTGCCAGTCTCCATGCTAGAAAACTTGGTGTTAGCTTTATCTGCTTCTTAATTCCAAATCTCGGAATATAATCAACCACCGGAATCTCAGACAGCCTCCTGGAATCATCCCTTTCCCTGAATTCCCATTGCTTCCCTCAGCCAGAGTCTGTACCATCTCATATGTAGAGGGCTTCAAGCTTTCTATCATGTTTCATCTTTTATGCCCTTATTCATTGGGAAGGCAGCAGAGGCTGAGGATAAGAAAATTGTCCAGACTGGGCACTATGGTTCATGCCTATAATCCTAGCGTTTTTGGAGGCTGAGCTGGGTGGACTGCTTGAGCCCAGGAGCTCAAGACCAGCAACATGCGGCAAAACCCCATCTCTACAAAAATTAGCAGGGCGTGGTGCCATGTGCCTGTGGTCTCAGCTATCAGGGAGGCTGAGGTGGGAGGTTTACTTGAACCCTGGAGGCTGAGGTTGCACTGAGCCATGACAGTACCACTGTACTCCAGCCTGGACAACAGAGCAAGACCCAGTCTCAGAAAAATAAAAAAGAATGAAAATTATGCAACGTAAATACACATTGACCAATAATTAAGAAATGCAGAAGCGAAAGAGTAAACATGACAGGAGCAAAACACAGAGCCTCTAGATTTCTTCTTCGAAATAAACATTTTTTGGCCCCGATGTCATGGCTCACCCCTGTAATCCCAACATTTTGGGAGACTGCAGCAAGTGGATCACAAGGTCAGGAGATCGAGACCATCCTGGCCAACATGGTGAAACCTCATCTCTATTAAAAATACAAAAATTAGCTAGGCTTGATGGCACATGCCTGTAATCCTTGCTACTCGGGAGGCTGAGGCAGGAGAATCACTTGAACCAGGTGAGTCGGAGGTTGCAGTGAGCCGAGACTGCGCCACTGCACTCCAGCATGGTGACAGAACCATTCTCCTCTCAAAAAAAAAGAGAAACGAAAAAGGAAAAGAAGGAAACAATTTTCTCTCAATTATTCTTAGTATTAATTTAGTATCAACACTTTTAATGTAGAATTTTAAAATGAGTTACAGGGGAGAATACCTTCTTTTCTTTTCCTGGTATTTGAATTAAATGGAATATATTCATTGCGTTTTGAAATTTAATATCTACATAAAGCTCAAGTTTCTTTGCTAGCATGAAAAACTATGGCTTATTTCCTGACATATTGTGTTTCGCTTCTTGGCATCTTCACAAAACTCAAGCTCTCCCTCTTTTACAAGCCCTGCACACAGTAGGTGTTCAGTACATGCTTGCAAAGTGGCTTCCTGGTCTATCTCATAATGGGTCAGATGGCATTTCTCTTTACTTCCCTTATGTGTCTTATTCTCTTAAAATTCCCAGGGCCTTTTTAAAGCTGTTTGCTACCACTTTCACCTCCCCTCCCTCCAAATTCTTTGAATTCCATTCTGTACTCAGGCTTTTTCAAAAATGAGACTTTGTTTAAAGCAGTTTTTCCCATTGTATAGCCTTTGAAACCACCGGGGAGCTAGAAAAATGTCTCCAGCTTTATGTATCACAGATTAGAAGGACTTGCTCAGACTGAGTCCTTGACTGATCAAATAAGAAAGCACCAGCTACAGGATGATCAATATGTGTTTACTTAATTCTTTTTCCCCCCAGGGCTCTTTGTGAGCATTTCCATAACCAGAACGCCATTTAGTAAATTGCACGATGCCTAAAACAATAAATGTGTCCTCCAAAAGGCCCAACAAATTCACTGGGAAAATATCAACAAAACAGTCAAAAGCCAACGAAAGTTGGGATGAGGACAGGGAACTTGTGAGCATTGAAATGAGATATGTAATTTATAATTAGGAGTAGAAGCACCAGACTTGTGGGGGAAGGATGAATTTCAGAAGCTTTTTGAAGAAAATATAAAAAGGCGGTTTTCTCTGTCATATTCTTGTTTGTAAATTCTAGAAATTCTGCCGAAAGCGGTAGACTTTCTCAGTGTTACTGAATCAATCAATCTACAGATTTTAACACCCAGTGTGGGAACTCTTCCTTACCTTTAGTATTTCATTTATGTGTTGATGATGTGTTGATTGATTCAGGTAGCGGTCAGCATTATAAATCGTTCTTTGGTTTTAAGAATTATAATTCCTTCCTCTCCACCCATTTTCCAAATACACATCCTTTAATCAGCAAAATGTTGGCAGAAAGTTCCCAAAATGCCTGACAAACGCACAGGCCTAAATGAATTAATTTGTGAAAAGCAAAAGCGATTTTGTATGCTCTTGCTGCCAAACACATATGACCAAACAACAGCATCTTTAAAAAAAAAAGTGTCAATAATCTCTAGGGGTTATTGGGTCACAGCAACCACTTTACTGATTAAAGTGGCTCTGCTCCCTTTCTCAGTTCTCTGTCTTTAGCAGGATTTGGAATTTTATCATTGATTAGCTTTTAAATCATTTTGGAGCACTGAGGAAGGGATTTTAAAATGTTGGGAAAGAAAAATATTTTCCTGCAGATAAAACTGACTTTGCTATATTGCTCAAAGTCACACTTTATAAATCCTGTTTAGGAGTAGAGAGGACTTACGGTCTGGAGT